ATTTTTGGTGGATTTTCCTTTTGCTTTAGGAGTAATGGAGATGAATGCCCAACTTAAGGAATGTGGAGGGAGAAGAGATCCTGATACAAAGAACAGCATAAAAATTATACTTCTTGGCAAAATGTGAATTAGTGACTAAAAGCACCTGATTAGTTTGAGAGAATCATTAGAATGTTTTCCAATGATTCTACCATGTTTTGAGTATTCTTCAAATTTTTCTTTCTTGTAATATTTTGAGACACATGATACTTCATATTTTTTTAAAATTGTGTTCTGAAAATCAGTTCACAAGATGATGACTTCTTGGTAAAGATTTCCTTGAATTTTCACACATTATATAATTATCATTCAAGTGGGCATAGAGAACTATCCCATCACCCCAAGAACCTCCCCTTTGCAACCTAATTTGCAACCACTGATCTTTTCTCTGTCACTCATTTCATTTTTGAGACTGTCATGTAAATAGAATCACAGATATGTAACTTTTTAAGACTGCCTTCTTTTACTGAGAATAGTACCTTTGAAATTCATCCATATTACTGAATATTTCAATTCATTCTTTTAGCTTTTGGGTGACATTTAATTCATAGAAATTAATACAGTGTATCTAGTCACTCATTATAGGAAAATAATGTTTCCAATTATTGGAAATTCAGAATAAATCTGCTTTAAAAATTTTTTTGTAAAAAAAAAAAAAGTTGAGTACTAGAAAACACAAAGAATAAAGAAAATATCACTGCTAATGATTTCCTCAATGAAAAACTCTTGCAGTTTTGAAGCATGTCTTATGCTACGGAGATGAATAATGATGGTCATAGTCATTCTGCAACCCAGGAATGTCTAGTATATAGCTGTAAATATGACTCAGAAGAATTTCAGACCCCAGGTTAGGCATTTGATTCTGAATTCATTGTGGGTCCTGAAAACTAGATGTGATTTTATGTAGATAAAAAAAATATAGGTCTACATGGAAGGACTTGTAGGTTGAGTTGAAAAAGGAAATAGGAACCACCTCACTTTGTAAATGCTGTCCCATCCTCTAGAAAGATCAGTAGTAGATGTAAGTGAATACAAGCAGGTCCTGGGGCACATAGGATCACTTATTGCTTTTCCCCCACCCCACACCCTGTCCAAAATTTTTGATAGGCTCACCTTCCTCTGAGGTCCACAGAGATATTTAGAGAAAGCTCATCTACTCTGATGTTTCCCTTCCCAACACCACACTGGACAATGGAAATTGAATGAGGGCTATTCCTGTATTTGCTGCTTTGGAGCCTGAACAAAGAAATCACTGTGAGAGCTCAGGCCACCAGAGTTCTCTGTATTAGCCCTGTTTTAGCCCTTCCACAGAGGCCAGGAATGTTGTTAGGTGGGGCTCTGGCACCATTCAGTTGATCCTGGCTTGGTCTGTCTAGAGCTGAGAATGCAAAAGGATCACAATACAACCATTCATACCTACTCAGCTTCTGAAACAGAATCCTGAGAAGAGCAGCA